TAAAGGTATTGTGTCCACTTAGAGCTAAAAAACATAAATATAAAAAAGTATGTAAAAAAGAAATCTGTTCTTCAGACTCTTAAACTAAGCCTTTCACATATTAAAATAACATCCTCAATGGAAGGGTACATTTAGTGTTTTTTTGGTTTTTGTTTTTCAGTGTAGTTAAGAGATTCTGAATTTCTGAATGATCAGATACACCTCACATACATTTTTCCTTGGTTCATTCCCCCATCCCCCATCCCCGGGGATTAAACCCAGGGCCTTAAGCATGCTAGGCAAATGCTCTAGCACTGAGCTACATTCCCAATCCCTTGATTCTTTTTTTTTTTTTTTTTAATGAACAGCAGAGTGAGGTAAACAAACATTTCACAGCTCAAGCATATAGTATAAAAATCACCATAAACTGATTATAGAAACCCAGCACAGGAACAGTACTGTTTGAAAAAACTGATAAGGTGTATAGACTATTTCCAGCTTTCATTAGAATGAAAGTTTTATTTTAATGTGAAGAAAATATTCATGTTCATAAATTTATAAACAATAGTAAGCTAGAATGGAATCAAAGAGAAAAGAAGTATTTTCTTCAAAATGTCTTGTCAATGTAAGTTCAAAGTAATGGCACCCGAAGGCAAATTAGACTCTATTATTTAAAACCTTAATTTGTTTTGCAAAATATACTGATGATCAAAGTTTTCCCCATTGATGTTTGGCAGAAAAACATTGTTATTGGATATCAGAAAGTTGACAGGGAATAGGTTGGTGAAAAGAGAAAGTGCTGTCCTCAGATTATTTCTGACATGAACTATGGAAGGGGAAATAAAGATGAGTGAGCATACAAAGACAACTTTCTTATCTTATGATCTCTGCCAAAGAAGCATGATTATGTAAAAGGTCAAGGTATTTATCATGGCATCTTCCATAGATTTATTAAGAGAAATATCCCCTCAAATATCCTTACTTCCTATTTTAAAAAATCTAGGTGACCTAGAATCAATTTATAAAAGCTCATTTCAAAATATATTTTGGGAGATCCTCAAATTCACAACCTGTTATAGAATCTAAAAATATATTTTCTTTTTCCTATACTTTACTTTAAACATACATGGGGTCCCTGATAGTTTAAATCTCTTTGCCTTAACTCATTCTTCTTGATTTCATCACCTTCACATATGATTCTTCACAAACTTCATCTTTTAAGATCATAGTGATTCTTAGTAAATATTTGAAACTTTTTAAGTCCTTCAATCAGTTGATTGTTTTAAGGACATAACCTCCTTTTTATGCTTTTGTATTTATTGAAATATGATAGTGAAAACTATATAAAATAGTAGAGGTATGGATTCACCACAGCTTTATAAAGAGACAGGGTGCTTTCTCTTTTGTTTCCCAAACTGTTTTCAATGCAAGTCAAAATCCTAAATGGTACTTGATGCTCAGAATGGGTTAAATTAAGCAAAGGAAAGGATTAATTTTAGGAAGAATCCTTACATGGACCTTTATAACATATTCCTGTACTTACAGCCCCAAAGTTAGGAGTATCATGTAACAACAATTCCATCTAAACTCTGGCCAATTTAGTAAGTAGGCACAAACTACCTTAAAGCCATATGAAAGGAATATTCTCAGTAGAATAATTTGAAATATGAGCAATAAAAAAAATTCTGATTTAATGCCACAAAAACTAACTAGTTTCAATATTATTTTTCAGAAACAACATTTTTAACATAAATATATTTAATGTTAGAAACAATTCAAAAGAATAACCTAATGACTAAAGAATAACCTAAAAACACAAAAGGTATCCTAAAATGTAAATAAATAGTATCACGTTCAGTTTCAAAATCTTTCAAAGAATAAAATTAAACTCTGCTTTAAGTAAGAAGCTACAACAATCAGCCAAAGATTGACTTACAGCATCAAAATATTAGCAGGATAAAAATATGTTAGGAGAGATCATCACAAAAAAATACATGGCGGAAAACTTCACTCTGTAAGAATACCAGCTGTAGGCTTGCTTTTTCTCCATACTATGTGCAACATGTACATCTACCAAAATAACCTATTCAAAAATACCCTAGAATAAATGTAACCAAGGAGACAAAAGATGTATACACTGAAAACTGTAAAACTTTTGCTGAAAGATATGAAATAAGATAAAAATAAATGAAAAGACAACCATATTCACTGATTGAAAGACTAAGCTATTAAAATGACAATATTATCCAAAAAGAGTTACAGACTGAATACAACTTCTCTCAAAATATCAATGGCATTTATTTTTACAGAAATAAAATAAAACTTCTCATAAAATTTATATGGAATCTCAAAGGACCCTGAATAGTCAAAACAATCTGGGAAAGAAATAACATAAGTAGATGTCTGACACTTTCTGATTTCAAAACTTAACTATAAAACTACAGTAATTAAAACAGTGTGGTATTGGCATAGGATAGACACATAGACCAATGGAATACAAAGCTTGGAAATAAAACCTTACATTTATACTCAACTGATTCTTAACAAGAGTGCCAGGAATTCCAATGGAAGAAGAACAATCTTTTCAACATTGGTGCTAGGAAAACTGGATAACCAAATAATAAAAAATTAAAGGTAGACACTTGTCTTACACACTATACAAAAATTAATTCAAAATAGATCAGAAATCTAAATGTATTACAGAAAACAGTAAACCTGTTAGAAAATACGGGGAAATCCTGGCCATTGAGCTGAATTTATTGAAAATAACACTAAAAACATAGGCATCAAAAGAAAAATGACAAATTGAACTTCAATAAAGTTAAAAACTTTTGTGAATCAAAGAACACTGTCAAGATGATCAAAAGACAACCAGCAGAATGAAAAAAATATTTGCAAATCATATATTTGAGAATGGATTCTATTTTTAGAATGTATAGGGCTGGAGATGTGGCTCAGTGGCATACTGCTTGCTTAGCATCTGTGAGGCACTGGGTTCAATCCTCAGAACCACATATAAATAAATAAAATAAAAAGGCCCATCAACAATATATATATATATATATATATATATATATATATATATATATATATCAATCACACACACACACACACACACACACACACATATATAAAGAATGTATGAAAACTCCAATAGCTCAACAAAAAAAAATCAACCCAATTAAAATGTGGGCAAAAACCTTAACAAGAATAAGCATTTCTCCAAAATATACAAATAGCCAATATGTATACATAAAAAGATACACAACATCATTACTCCTATGTTAAATATAAATAAAATCCACAACGTGCTATCACCTCACCCTCGATAGAATGACTATTATAAAACAAAAACAAAAGCTGAGTATAGGTGTCGAGGATGTCATGCATTGTTGGTCAAATATAAAATGATACAGAAAATGTGGAAAACCACTTATTGGTGCCTCAAAAAGTTAAACAGAATTATTATATGCTCCAGCAATTATATTCTCAAGTATAAACTAAAGGAATTCAAAGCAGGAACTCAAGCACATTTTTGTACACAATCATTTATAATAGAAGTATTCATAATAGCCATTAGATAGAAACAAGCCAATGTTTTATCAAGAGATGAATGTATAACAAAAAGTGGTAGATACATCCAACAGAATATTATTCAGTCAAAAAAAGATCATAATTCTTAAACATACTATACCACAGAGAAATGTTGAAAATATATATATAAAGTAAACCAAAAGAACAAAAATTTTGATTACTTATATGAGACACCTAAAATAAACATATTTATAGGGACAGAAAGTAAAATATAGGCTAACAGGATCTGGGAGAGGTGTAGGGTATCGGGAGCTATTGTTCATTGAATATAAAGTTTCTGCTTGGGATGATAAAGTTCTAGAAAAGAAAGTGGCAATTATTACATGACATTGTCAATGTACTTAATGCCAGTTAACTGTACATATATAAAAATGACTAAAATGGCAAATTTTAGAGAGCTATCCCTCTCCTCGGTCTATACCCAAAAGACTACATGACACAGCCACATCAATGTTTATAGCAGCACAATTCACAATAGCTAAACTGTGGAGCCAATCTAGATGCCCTTCAGTGGATGAATGGATAAAAAAAAATGTGGCATATATATACACAATGGAATTTTACTCAGCAATAAAAGAGAATAAAATCATGGCATTTGCAGGTAAATGGATGGCATTGGAGAAGTTAATGCTAAGTGAAGTTAGCCAATCCCAAAAAAACAAATGCCAAATGTTTCCTCTGATATAAGGAGGCTGACTCATAGAGGGGTAGGGAGGGAGAGCATGGGAGGAATAGATGAATTCTAGATAGGGCATAGGGGTGGGAGGGAAAGGGAAGAGGCAGGGGATTAGCAAGGATGGTGGAATGTGATAGACATCATTATCTAAAGTACATGTATGAAGATATGAATTGGTGTCAATGTACTTTTATACAACCAGAGATATGAAAAATTGTGTGTACACATGTAATAAGAATTGTAATGTAGTCTGCTGTCATTTATTTTTTAAAAAATCAATTAAAAAAAGATCAATGTGGTTGGATCTTGTTTTTGGAAATCCATTCAACCACTCGGTCTTTTTATTGGAAAATTTAAAATATAAAAATAAAAATAAATAAATAAAATGGCCAATTTTATGTTATATATATTTTATGACAATAAAAATTATAATAATCCACTCAGTGAATACCTAATTTTCTTCCACAGCAGCCCAAACCAACTTCATTTATTTCCAAATAACTAGTAAATGTACTCTGTGTATGTGTGTGCATACACATAAAATGAATTTTTTAAAAAAACAGATCTCTGATATGTTACACAAAACGAGTATCCTAGAATGTACTTTCAAAAGCTCCAAATAAGTATAATTATACTCTAACTTGATTGCTATTTTAGTTATTTATCTATATGAATATTCAAAATAGGTAACAACTACTAATAGGCCAAACATACATGTTTATAGATCAAGTGGTAAAGATGAATATTATACCTGATATAGCATAATGGGTTCTATGTTGTATCCTAAGGTATCAGCAAAGTTCTTGGCAATGACTGTTTTTCCACAACCCTATAAATGGAAACACATCATTCAAAGGATGAATCAAAACAAGAAAAGCCAGGAAATAAAAGTTTGCAAAAAAGCTGCCATTCTTACCTTTCCCCCAATTAAACATATGTCCTTAACCATATGAGATTGCATCATTTCAGCCAGTAGCTGCTTATGACTTAAAGTCCGTATGAATTGGTCTGATGCACAAGATTGACCAAATGGTCTGGTCCCAGCTGGCACCTGCAAATTAAAGAGGGGTAGATAAACTATTCATATGCTTTTCTCAAAATATTAGCAACTTAAAGGACATAAGTAGCTGCCACATAAAAGCTCCCACATACACTTAATTCCTTCCTCAATTCAAAGTTTGTTTTGTTTTATTTTTTGTCTTTTCAGTACCAGGGATTGAACCCAGGGGTGTTAAAGTACTAAAACATGTCCCAACCCCTTTTATTTTTTATTTTGAGAAAAGGTTGCTTAGGACCTCACTAAGTAGCTGAGGCTGACTCTGAACTTAAGATCCTCCTGTCTCAGCCTCCTGAGATGCTAGGATTACACTTAGTTATAGTAGCTATTGATATTTTGGAATTTTACTCAGCAATAAAAGAGAATAAAATCATGGCATTTGCAGGTAAATGGATGACATTGGAGAAGATAATGCTAAGCGAAGTTAGCCAATCCCAAAAAAACAAATGCCAAATGTTTTCTCTGATATAAGGATATAGAGCAGCAATTATTTTCCCATTCAGAGATCTGATGATCTTATTATCCAACACCCAAATTAATCATTCCTCTAAAATTAAAGTCCCATGCTGTCACATATGTACATAAGAATCATGTCATTTTCTTGCCTTTATAACTCATAAAAAAATCTCTAGTGGGGAATGAACCTTTTTTCAAATTGCAGACATAATACGGAATTTAAAATCTACCCATGTCAAAATCTCCAACTCACCACTGACCTCCTGATTTCCAAAACCCATGTCCACAAATTCTTTTTACTCTTATCTTTGTTTACCCTCAGAAGTATCTATTCAAAAAAACCTCTCCTCCCATGCTTCCCACCTACTTTTCCTTTTATTTTTTTTTTTAGCTTTTATTTCTATACTTATTCTTTGTGGTCTCAATTCATTTGGTTTTCATCTTTGATTGCTCTTTCATTCCCTAGGGAACTTTCTTAAAAATTAAATTTATTGTTAACTGATACTGATACATAAAACATAAAAATTATACATATTAATGGATTACTATATGATGTTTCAATGAACTATAAATTGTATAATAGTTAAATCAGGTTAAATATATCTCTCTCCTTAAACATTTATTATTTCTTTATGATTAAAACCTCAAAAAATCTTCCTCCTCACTTTTAGTACATTATCAGTATCTATTGTCACCCTACTATACAATAGCACATCAGAAAATTCTAACTCCTGTCTAACTGTAATGTAGTTTTCACTGATCAACATCTCCCTGTTCCTCTCTCCCCCTTTCTCCAACCTCTAGTAGTAACTATTCTACTCTCAACTTCTGAGATCAACTTTTTTAGATTCTATATGAGTAAGATTATGATCTTCTTTTATTTTTTATCCTCTTCCTTATCATTATCCTGGGTGTCATGTTCTTCTAAGGACTTGGGACTTGATCAGACATATACAACATGAACCCTAAATAATTTTAAGTTTGGAAACAATATCAAATTTGCATTTAAGAAAGATCATCCTGGTACTAACATGAAAAGTTAACAAAAGGTACAGGAATCAACAAAGTTAGTGAACTCTTACCAAAGTCAAGCAAATAATGAAGATTGGCTCATACCTCATGACTTTGAACATTCTGTTTAAACTTCCCAGTGTCCTATCACCTTTCTATCCCTGGGCCATGGGGAAAATTCTATGTCATTCTTCAAAACTTAGCTCAAGTTTCACCTCATCTCTGAAGCTTTCCTTACTCCTCCAGAATTCCTGTATTACTTCCCTCTCTAGGTCCCTATTGCCATTCATTCCAATGTAGTCCTTATTCATCTGCTTCTACCATAGATTATCATTTGAAGACAGAATAGTGTAGTGCAAAGTGACCTTGTCTAGAATTACCAGCAGTGCCACCTCCTAGATTATAACCATGGATGAATCCACTAATCAAGGTACATCTCAGTTGTCTAACCTATAAGATGGTGATAATAAAGTTTACGTTCAAGATTATTGGGGGATTTAAATAGTATAATATATATCAAGGAGACACAATAAATAGTATAAATAATCAATCCTAATACAGAAAGGAGATACAGAGACATAGATGTGTTGCTACAGAGCCAAATAAGACTTACGAGAGGGTCATATGCCTAATTTAGGCCATATTAACCAGGTGCATCTTAAAATGAAGAAATTGTGATTCATTACCTTAATGGTAACCTCTTGTCCTGCAATTTGAATAGTCACACAAGCATGGGAGACATGGTTTTCAGTCATTCTCTCCACTTTAACAATCTCTTTAGGAAGCAGAGAGCTTCCTGAATCTTGGAGTTCAAAACGCTGTAAAATTGTAAGAAAATCATGTAAAAGTCATGGAATTTACTTTTTTTTGTTTGTTTGTTTGCAGTACCTGGGATCCAACCCAGCACCCCATGCATGCTAAGCAAGTGTTTACCCCTAAGCTCTATCTCCAGCCCTAAAATTTACATTTGATTTTAGAATCAATGTTGGATATCTAGAAGATTCATCTAATTAGAACCAAAACTTTTCAATTCTATAAAAATAGAGGTAAAAAAAAATTAATGAGAACTTTTTCTACTTTCTAATAATACCATTCTACTTAAACCAAGTATACAGGTGATAGATACTAAAATCATCCTTAAAATTTATAAAATGACAGGAAATAGTATGCTTTTACCCCAGTTATAATAATGTCATTATAAGTTGATACAGGATTGATGTTAGAGCACTCATGTTCCTGAAATAAATACAAATGCAAAGAATCATTTACTACATTGGTTATATCTTTATAAATAATTAAGCTAAATAAGCTAGTGGAATAGAAACAGGCTAGATTCAACTTGAATAGTAAAAGATCTCAAGTTGCAAGGTGAATTATCATTTGCTGACATAAGAAATTTAGAGAAACTATTAATCAGAAAAGTAATAAAGGAGTACAAGAGGAATATAAAATGTTTCAGACTACATGCTAGTAATATGTATAAAATCAGCATTTATTTACTTTACTACTTTATGGGCTTTTCCTATGAATTCTTTAATTTCAATTAAACAGAACTAACATTTCCAACTAACTTTCTTTGGGATTACATTATTTATAATGTGATTTATAATTATACAGAATGAAATGTAAATCACATAGATGTTAGTAATAAGGCAATGGCATTCATCCTCATAATTCCCAATCCTGACCCACTATGCTGAACCTTCTTCCTACATTTTTCTAGGCTATTGAGCAGCAAAAGAGAAATTATCCAGACCATGCTGATTAGCAACTAAACAAATATGTGGCTCCAATCTTTCCTGGGCTATTTTCCCAAAGCACCTCAGCAACTAATACAAACCATTACTTGCTTCCTAAGAAGTCAGTTTAAGTCCTCTATCCCATTTTTTGGCAGGCAATCTAGATATTTCTCCCACCTACAACAGTGCCTTAGACTTCTCTACTCCTTACTAGAATGTAAGTCTCTTTAGAGAACTATTCAATCTATTTGGCTCTCTCTAAAATCTCTACAACCTACAATTACCCTAGTCAATAGTCATGTAAGGTTTGTTAAATGAGAAAAATAAAATGAAAATATTTTTTCTTTAATCCTCAAAATCATCTATAATTTCATCAATATTTATTTCTTTTCCCATTTTCTCAGTAAAAAGGACTTCTGCTTTAAGTGACAGTAGATGGAAAGCCACCAGTCTTTCTCAATTTCAAATTAAAGCAATCCCATCAGTACAGTTTCTGGATAGAAAATAAGTTCTTATATCATTTTAAATCAAGTACAATGGTGCTCTGGAAATGTCCTTTCTCACCTCGCCCAAGCCATATTTTACAGGTACTCAACAAATGTCATCCCTACTTCCTAAAAACATGTTTATTTTTCCCATTCCAAGAAACAGTCATTTCTTCACTTGACATCATCCTTTTTTATTATAAATATCAAGTAATGTTAACTGTACAAATCAATGGATTTTACTGTAACAATTCCATGCATGCATGCATTGTGCTTTAATAGTCTCCCCCTCTCTACCACCCTCTTCCCCATCCCTCTACATCATCCTTCAGCAACCCATCAACTTCTTCCTTCTGCTCACCATTGCTTATTTTACAAGTAGTTTATAATCACTGCTTCATCTTTCTTATTCTTCTGCCCAAGAATTTATGGCTTACATTCCCACTTTACTAACACTGTTCTCAATAATTCTACCAATAATATCATATTTGCCAAATTTAATAAATTAATTTTCTTCCTATTTCATTGATTCCTCCTTCTTGGTCACTTTTGTGACTTCTCCTTCATCTTCCTAACCAGTGCATATTAGAGTACTTCAGGAATAGATCATTTGATAGATATCATTAACTGATTTAAAAAAATAGGGCAGGTTGGGGGGCTGTGAAAGAAAGTGAGAAATCAAGAGTGTTTATGAGTTCTAGCTTGGAAAAGTGAAAAGATAGTGATGCCATTAATGAGAGGAAGTAGAAAGAAGAAACACATTTGAAGTGGATACTAAATAACTCCATACAGTGGAATCCTTTGAATTTGAGGTTTCCAAGTGGGTTTAGATATAGTTTTATCTATATTTACTTTTTCAATACTCTCATCCAGTCATGATTTTACAAACCATCTATATGTTCATGACTCCTTGTTTTCTCTTTCCAGTCTCTCTCCTGAGTTCCTAACTGGCATATGCAAACTTCCCTCTTATTATCTCCCTTCAGATAGCTATTAAGTGTCCCCAATTAAACATGTCCAACATTCAGGTCTTTAACCTTCCCCCCATTTTCTCTCTCTCCGACTTCATCATTCCAGTTCCTCAGTCCAAAGACTTTGAAATTATCCTTGACTTCCTGTCTTAACCCTACATCCAACCCTTCAGCAGATATGTTAACTCTACCTTGAAAATATAACCCAAATCCAACTACCTCTTACCAACTCATAACTGGTCAAAATCACCATAATCTCTCAACTGAATTATTATAACAATCTGCTAACTGGTTTTTCTCTGCTTTTGCCCTTACCCTTCACAGTCTATTCACTACTTAGCAACCAAAACAGGGCTGCTGAATGATCAGTCATATAAGACATTCCTCAAAACCTCCTAATGGTCCAGGCAAGGTGGTGCACACCTATAATCCCAGCAACTTGGGAGGCTGAAGCAGGAGGATCACAAGTTTAAGGCCAGTCTCAGCAACTTAGCAAGGCCCTAAGCAACTTAGACCTTATCTCCAAGTAAAAAATTTTAAAAAGGGATGGAGATATAGCTCAGTGGTAAAGTATCCCTGGGTTCAATCCCCAAGACTGCCAAAAAAAATTTAAAAATTCCTAATGGTATTCCATCATACTCAGACTGAAAGCAGAAATCTCCTTGATGGCCTACAGAAACTTACATGATCTGAGCTCCCCTACCTTCTAACTTCATCTCCTACTTACCTCTCCTTCACTTACTCTGCACCATCACACTATCCTATGCTGATGCTAGAATGCCCCAGGTATGTTCCTGCTCAGGGCTTATGTACTAGTGATTTCTGAAGTGCTTTCATCCTTCAGATCTTTATCTAAGTGTTGCCTTCTTGGTGAACACATGTATTCCTCAATTGACATACAGCATCATTTACTTAACTAATTGACTTTTTTCACCAAAAATCAACCTCTATGAAGGCAGGGACTTTTATCTGTTTTGTTTACTGCTACATTTTCAGCATAATAGTGCTTACTTAAGTGTTCCTGTGGAAGGATGTTTGGAATGAATAATTTTTTTGAATGAATAATCTAAAAGTCTTGTTTAAATAAGATATCTCTGCAGCACTGGAAACTATTAACATTTTCCTCTTAAACTATCACTCCTAATGTTTCATCAGAATATTCTTTCTGTTCTACTTCTCTCTGACCATTCTACTTCTGCCTAATTTGCATGTTCTTTCCCCACTGTCCATACCTTAAATGTTGGTGTTTCCAAGGTTCAGCATTTGGCCAGTTTTTCTTCTCACTCTACTTGCTCCCCTGAGTTCTTTCAAACAACTCCCACACATTAACAACTCTCAAGTATTTCCCTTTAATAACAAAATAGTTCCAGAGCCAGATCTGTATTTCATGTCTGCTGGATAAACCTCCCTGGAAATCTCAAATTCAAAAAAGATCCTACCATACAGAATTATTTAGCCTACACCCCAATTGTGCTTCTTCCTTGCATATTCTCATATTAACTAATGGCAGCTGTAACTACTCGTTTGTCCAAGTTAGTATCCATGGACATTCTTGATTTCTCACGTTTTCTCACAGTCTCCCAACCCAACCCACATTTTATCAGTTAGTAACATCTAAGACATTACTGCATCTAAGATATTTCTCACATCCATTTAATTCCTATTTTCACTGGGTTACTTCATGTTTGACCAGAGCTATTCATCATTACGGTAAGTTCCTCAGGAGCAGGGATCAAATAGCATCCATTTCTATATCTCTAGATTTCTATAGACATATAATCATTTGTCAAATAATGAATGTTCAAGTAATGTTTGTTGAACTGAGTGAAAATATTAAATTCAAGACCATTCCAAGTTTCTCTTGCAAAACTATCATTCAGATTATATTATCAATGAACAAGCAGTAGCATATCATTTCTAAATCACCTAGGGAATATACTAATTTAACACTTATTATGATGGAGTTCTACTTACATAGAACTGAGAGCTGAGACATATTGAGAAAAGCCTGGATATATTTGTTACTAAACTGTGATAAAGGATGCCAACTCTCAAAGTGTGGTAGATTCAGAATGAATCTTTAAGGCATCTTTAACTAAAAGCTAGAAGTAATTTCATGACTATAAAAATGTTTTTAGAATATGAACATCACATAATAAGTACCATCTGGGGAATAAAAATTATTCTAGTCATTTTTATAGCTAGTTCAAAAAAAGAAAGGTGCTCTGATTTTTAGCTGACTACATTTTCAGTGAGTAATAATTTTTCCTTTAAAAATGCAACACAATTAAGTGAATACACTAAAATTCAGGGGGATATGTAACTCAAAGACAACTATTCATTCATTTCTATAGCAATCTGAGAGAGAAAATAATTATCCCTTATGAAGAAAAAGTTATTGACTAGCTCTATTATAATACACATTTCTATTCCTTAATTAAACATTTTTCCAAATTCAACAAAGTACTTTAATTTTCACTATTCTTATCAAAATTGTTTGAAGATAGATAATATTTCATTCATCTGTGAATATTGGCTTAAAATAACGCTTTGGGAAAACAATGTAAAAATTTAAATAAGAAACAGGCCACACAGAGCACCCCAGAACAGATAACAAAAAACTATACCAATGAATAGACAGTTCCACTCCCTGCACATGTGTGTGCATACACACACACACACACACACACACACACACACACACACCCTAACTGGAGATTGAACCCAGGAGTGCTTTACCATTGACCTATAGTCCCAACCCTTTTGATTTTGAGATAGTGTCTTGCTAAATTGCCCACACTGGCCTTGAACTTCAAGTCCTCCTGTGTTAGCATCCTGAGTAGCAGGGATTAAGGCATGTATCACCATTCAGGGCACAACCCACTCTTAAGGAAAGATATTTTACACCTTATGTATATATTTATGTATATATCAGTGTATAATAATCTTACCAAAAGAAAATTCTTTTAGCTTCAGACAAGAGAAATCTGTGCATTAACTAGCACTTCAGGTAATTAAGGTGAGAAAACACAGTTACACTTTTATCTGATTAATGCCAGTACCTTTTTCCATTTTTTTTAAAATTCTCTACAATCAAATTAAAAATGATTTGTTTGTAATATAAACCTTTCATCATCATGTTACCCTTAAGAGGTTAAAATTAAGGGCAAACAAAATGATACTATTTTCTTCAGAAAATTCAACTCATTAAATATATTTTGCAGAGCCAGTGTTGTGGCTCAGTGGTAGAGTGCTTGCCTAGCATGCTTGAGGCACTGGGTTCAATCCCTGGCACCACATTAAAATAAAATAAAAGTATTTTTCTAAAAAGTATTTTCTACAACTTTATATAATTTATACAAGTAGTTTTAAAAATTAGAGACCAGAAACACATCAAAGTGGTTTCTTTGTAAAGATATAGACCTTTGTTCATAACGGATCTATCTAGATACTGAACATCTTTCTCAGTTGTGTCACAGACTAACTCTGCATTGCTTCATTTTATCAGTACTTCCTCTGGGACTCTCTTCTTCCCTGAGTATGCCCCCTTGTTCCCAAGGCACAGGTATTGTGCTGAGGGCACTAAGGAAGCTCATCTGGAATTGAGGAAGCCTTTGATCTTGAATACTAGATGTTCTGCTTCAGTGACCAATGCCAATTTAGCTCAGATGTTGATTGAACCAAAGATAAATTCCAGTTCTCCTTTTTTTCTTCAGTACCTAGAATAAACCTAAAAGTGAACTACATAGTCAGAAAATGGCAGTTTCCTGAATGTATGACTTTCCCCATTTTCTAATGGTTTTTAATATCCTCGCCTTCTCCTTCTCCTTCTCCTTTTATTCCCTCTCTTCCTCTCTCAAACACACACACACAAAAAAAAAAAAACACACACAGAGCAGACCTCTTTTTTTTTCTTTCATCAGTGACTACTATTTCACCACTTCTATTCTCTTGCTTTCTTCTACATTCCTTTGCCTCTTTATTGACCATTATTAACTCCTTGCTTCCTTATTCTTTTCTTTAGGTTCTATTCATAATTGTACTTCTCATTATCTATGAAAAATAGCTTTCTATGATTTTATTGTTATTACTATTAAACATAATTAATCAATGAAAACATTATTTCTTAGGTTCTGTGGCTAGCTATCTATTGAAAAAAAAATCTTACTGAGACAACTAGAATCTCCTATGCCACTCTCCTGCTTTCTCATTTCTATTACTAGATGAATACAGAGTGCTTCAATACTTCCAAAGACTACATGTGGGTTTGAGAATAAGGGAGAAACAAACATCCCAAGTTCTCAAGAGCGTCAAATTATAGCCCAGAAAATGAAGGTCCTGTATACATAGCCACTACAGCTTAGTGTTAACATTCTATCTACTCCTTAGAAATCTGTACCTTAACCAGACTGTATTAGAAGAAACAAAAATTAAACACACACATAAGTATTGATTTTTTTCTGATTATTAGAGAACAAGCAGCAGATATGATGTCACACACCCTTAAACATTCTGGTTCACACTTCTTGGAACAAGATCTCTAGCCAATCTAATCACCACATAAACTTCCAGAACAGGAAATTAATTTAATAAAATACTATACAATGCACAGATCTTTCTTATAAAGTGCACCAACAATGTCATTTGTTCCTATCTGGTTCAAGATCCAGTGCAGGAACATTTAGCTCATGGCTCTTCAGTCTCCTTCAACATGGAACACTGTCTGAACAGTTTTAAAGAACATAGGCCTTCATTCTGTAAGATGGCCTTCAACCTAGGACTAGGCCATACTTACATCCTCAATTCTTAGTAGGAACTCCCCAAGAATGATGCTCTTCAAAGCCCATCATTCAGGAGATACATCATGTCAATTTGTTCCAGCTGGTCAAGCTCATGTTTACTGTAAAAATACTACTTTCTGCCCAACACAGTGGCACACATCGGTAATCCTAGTGGCCTGGGAGGCTAAGGCAAGAGGATCACAAATTCAAAGTCAGCCTCAACTTAGCAAGGCCCTAAGCAACTTACAAGACTCTGTCTCAAAATAAAAATAAAAAGGGCTGGGGATGTGGCACCCTGGGTTCAATCCCCAATACAAAATTTTATTTATATATATATATATATATATATATATATTAGGCAATTTGAGTATTTTGTATAGAGTAGAGAGATATTCAGAAATTGTATTCATATCCAAAGATCTATCCACCAGCTTTAAATCCCTTGGTGACACCTTCCTAAATCAATAATTTATTGATTTATAATTTATTCATATCATAGAGATCTGTGGATTCCCATTTTATAAAACGAGTTCTATTAATTTTTATCATTATTTATTTTTAATGGTCAAATTTTCAAGCTGACTCCTCTGTCATTTTGAAATGTCAATATCATTTGTTAAACATTTCCTTACTCTCTGGAACATTAAGAAATTCAATGCTCATCTTGTATGTTTTATGGCTCAATCCTTGAGTCAACCCTATTTCCAAGGAGTTTTGATTTCTTTTAGTAATCAGTGTCTAGGTATATGGCATGATCATACAATTTTTTGGCTGTTTTAAGAGAGCTACATATATTATATATATGTGGTGTGTGTGTGTGTGTGTGTGTGTGTATATATATAAAAATATATATTAAAAAAATATATATATATATAATATTATATATACTATATATAATACTATATGTAGTATAAAATACTATAATGTAATACTATATTATCTATTTGTTCATATGTATCAAAAACATAAGTCATATCTCCAATTTCAATTAAATACCTCATTCAATACCTCATTACCCCTTTCCTTGTTTATAAATCCCTTCTCCAACAGCTCTCATTATCTCAATATCCTTATCATAGTTACTCATGTGCTCGTTCTATTTATTTTCTCAATCTCTCCACACCAGTCCCTCTGTGCTTCTTTCCCCATTACTGCTTTCTTGTTGCTGGCATCCAATGCCTTCAAGACTAGAAAGGAAGACAAGGGATGGTGAAAAAAGATGAAAGGAGACTAGAGAAAACTAGGAGAGATGGAAAAAAGAGAAATGGGAAGATTTAAAGGAAAGGGAAGGCAAAAGAAGGGAAAATTGGAATGTAAGGGAAAGGAAAGAAAGGGAAACAGATACTCACTTTTAAAACACCTTCAACAGCCATCTTCCCTTCATGTCCTAATAAAATAGTGTATGGATAAAGCCACTGGATTGCGTGTTTAATTGACATCATAGGAAAGGAATCCTATTTAGGAGCACAAATACATAGGAATAAGCAACATCTAAAATAACCACAGAAAAATGTATCTTAAATGTATATGTGCCATTAAAATTGCCCTATAAAAATAACCAATAATTTTCCAGAAGTGTAAAAAAATAAAATATTCTTTCCTCTCCTCTTCCTGTTCCTATTCATTTCTAAGTGAACTCACTCCTACCTTTCATCTGTGTGTCAGTGGCTCCTGTGCTTCTATGTCTAATCATGCTCTTCCTTGAGCTCTAGACCTGAATCTTCAATTATCCATTACATGTGACTACAGTATGTAGTCACATACTGTAAATTTTCATATGTAAACTTTTACATCTGAAACTATTCACATTTGCATACTTTACTCATCCTAAAGCACATGTTCCTGCTTTATTCATAATCTGAGTTCATCTGATCTATATTAACTTAGCTTCATAGCTATAAGTGCAAAGTAAAGAAAGTGTTCATTTTCCTCAAATCCTTCACCCCAAACCAAATTGCATTTTCAATTCTGTTTACACAATAAAGAGTCTACTGATAGGGACCAACACAAAAATTTCAATATGGATTATCTATTAGATGATATTACAGAATTAATGTTAATATGGTAAAGTATGATAACAGTATTCTCATTATGCAGAAAAATGCTCTAATTCTTAGAAGTCATATTCTTAAATATTTAATAGAATACTACAATTTATTTCCAAATGGTTCAGTGGGGAAGAGGGGTCAAGCAAATGTGGCAATATGTTAGTAATTGGTGCTTCTAGGTGAAGGAATTATGAATGTTTGACTATTTTCCAGCTTATTGAGATATGACACTCTTCAAAGCACAAAGTTCTGAGCAAAAACAAAAACAAAAATGCAAAATTGGATAAACAGAAGAAATGCCTTTCTGGATATGTAGAGCAATGTAAAAACTACCCTTCCTGTCTAAATAGATAATTCAAAAAAACAATTAACATTTAAAAATGAGTTCCTTGACTAAATAAAGCAGTATTGCTACTACTTCAGATGGACCTCCTTTGCAGGGTCTCACTGAATGTTATAACAAGCCTTTGAATATCTTTGGCATCCAGGTTCTCCCCAACCTCCTTGATGTCAACACCAAGGGAGGTGTTTTCCTGTAACCTAAATCTGATCACCTAATGTTCTACCTATTTCAAAATGTCTTACAGGCCATTTCTTCATCATAAACTCCAGGCAACTTCACTCCCCATGAAATATTTCAAAATCAAGTTCAAACATCTCTCTCACCATACACGCTTTCTCGAGGGATACAACTTATTCTCACTCTCCTACCAGGTTCTTTTGTGACTGAACACCTATGAATGCATCCTCTGCCTATAAGGCCTTTAACTGCCATGCACTTTTTTAAAGTGTAGTGGACAACAGCTGTTGTCCACCCAATCCCCTCAGGTCTCTTTATATCCTTTCTTTGTGCCTCTCAGGTCTCCCTTCCCACAGCCAGCTGCTGCAGATCTTATTTTTTTAAATATTTTTTAATTTGTCAATGGACCTATATTTTATTAATTTATTTATATGTGTGCTGAGAAGTGAACCCAGTGCCTCATACATGCTAGGCAAGCACTCCACCACCGAGCCAAAACACCAGCTCTGCAGGTCTTTTTAAGAAGACTGCCCTTCAGCTCCTGGAACCAGCTTTGCTCACAAGCTGGGAGAGACAGTAATGACTTGAAATGTGCATCCCCTGGGACAACTATTAACCAATGACTAATGGGTGCTAGAATAAGAAAGCCCAGCTCTACTGCTCCAGTTGGGGCAACTTTGAGGCCTAACTCACTGCAGTACACCTCTTCTTTGATACGGCTGAAGCCTTCCCTTCCACCTTTATACTTTACTTACATCTCATGTCTACCTCCTCCTTCTCCAAAGCTAGGAGTTCTTTAGAAACTCAGAACACGTCCTTGGGCTCTGTATAGTTTACTATACTGCACAACAAGTCAACCTTAGGCCTTTTACAGAAGAATATGATAAGAAAACCCAAAGTGATTAATTCCCAAGGATTAACTTTTAAATTTGCTTTGCTATATTTGGGTTCACGAGTCATTAATTTGGTTTATACATACCAGGATTTGAACTGCAGCTGGTAAACTATCTAAAGGAAAATCTGGAAGTCCAAGAGCAAAAGATTCTTGGGAACAGACAGTTGTTGCAAAAGACAAAAGCTGAGAAACTCTGGGGGAAAAAATCATATTAAATTTTATTCTAATAGTTTTGAAATAAGTATAAGTATGTTAAATAGCAAATAGCTGGGCCAATTTAATTAATCTAAAATGATCCCTACTGTTAATTCTTGAAGAACAGTGACTCCCGTATCCCAATGTTCCATTTAAAACTCAGAAGCTGATTAGCTAGACACATGAATTTCCTAAACCCATCAAGATAGGTGAGGTTATCACAACCTGATCTAAATCTACCCTGCCAGCTTTATCTCCTCTCAATCTCAAATCTAAACTCTAGACAGCAGATTTTTATAGCCTTAAGAACAAAGCATAAACTCTCATATCTCATGCTTTTAGAAAAGTCCTTTGTAATTCTTTCATTCCATTCTCTATCTGGTAAAGTCTACACATTCTTTAGGACTCACTTCAAACATCAATGTTTTTGTGAAGCCTTCACAAAGTCTCAACCACAAATAGCCCCAGTATTTTGAAATTGTGGCATGTAACTACACTGGGTTAAACTAAGCTACTTGTATCGCTTTCCGTTCTACTAGATCTTAATTCCGCTTCTTACCATCAATGATCTATTTTATTGATTTTATCACCAGCATATACCAAACCTTGCAATACTAAAAAAATTCTTAAAATAATAGTCATGGAATGAATATATCAATCAATGAACAGGCAAAACAAATTCAATGTTAAGTGACCAGTATTTATAAAAGTACACTTACTTCTCTGCTGAAACATTGGCTCCAACTGAATATAATACATTAAGTTGATCCTAAAATGACATAGAAATATATCAAATTAATAAAAACTAGAACAGATTAAATGGAAAAGTTTATAGATACAAACAAACCTTTTAATTAGGCAGACACCAAGAAATTCATAGGAAAAAATAATTTCTTGTTACATTCATTTTATAAAAATCTTTTTAAAATCTTTCAAACAAATAATGCCACAAAAATTTTTCATCCTACTTCCCAGAGATTTTTCCTTATCTCATATCTTTTTTCCTGTCCATTAACTACTGAAGAGGAATTGAATTTCTTGTTGTAGACAAAAATCTATTTTAAAGACTTAATCAATCTTGGTCATAATTACCTTGAAGGGTAGAAAATAAATATCTCTGGCTTGAAATCGAGAACGAAGAGGGGGATCTAATGGATTCCCAGAATATCTGGGCACTGGCAAGCCCAAGGCAATCACTCGGAAATTTTCACTAACTCGGACAATCTTCCAAGCATCCAACTCTGCTTTAGTATGATCCTAAGAAAGGGAGAGATCAAAAATTATAGCACAAATGAAACAGATTAGAACTGCAAGAGCTACCAGGCCAAGACACCTAAGCCTTGCCTGTTAAGAGAACTGAATTTGAAAACACTTTCAAAATCACACAGTCAAGGGAGGAAGCAAAGTAAAATCCAGATCCAGGGAAAGCTTGCAACATGAATACCAGTCTTGGAAAAAAAAGTCCCTCATACATGAAGGAACCAAGAAAAGCTGAGTCAGATCTCCAAGCCCCACTCAATAATACAGAGGAAGAGAGTCAGGAAAAATAAGGAAAAGACATGATGATCAAGAGGACAGACAAACCATCCAGAGTGGAGATCACCCACAGAGCCTAAATAGATAATTATGTTTACAGGAATATTTCTAGAAAAACATACTGCTAATAACAACTAACATGTTTGAAAATTTACAGAGTAGGCATTTTCCATGAATTTTTCTCATTTAACTTGCACCAGAATCCAGACAATCTCCTTATGATTCTGAATGAAAAACCTTAAGTTCAAAGGAGTTATATAACTTACCCATGGTCACTGGAGGCACTGAAAGAACATAAACTGCATAGTTTTGAAGTCACAAACCCTGGCTCAACTACCTGATACATGCATGTTCTACTTAAATTATCAAGGTTATATTATTTATCATTGGAACCTCAGTCCTCATCTATAAAACAGAAATAATATCATCTACATTATTATGACTGCTATGAAAACTAAGTGTGAGAATGTATGTATGTAGCAGGCACATGTTACAAATCATTTCCTTCCTTCTCTTCCTTAATGGCTCTTCACAGCCTTAAACAATAGTATCCATGGTATATAAAGTTTATATAAATGTGCATATGTACATTTTGAGGGAAAGGTCCAGTGCTTTCAGCAGATCCTCAGAGGACAATGCCCACATTGACAGTATAAAATCTTCTCATTGCCTCTCCTGGCAAGATTTGTATCTCATTCTCCCAGTCTCAGCAATCCAACCTTCTATTACTCTGTTTCAACCCATCATACTACTGTTATTTTCCAAAAATGGAGCTTCAGCAACACTGCTCCATTTTCAGTGAAACACCTTTTTCATTTTGTACAGCATAAAAACAAGTACCATTCAAATCTTAGTACACACCACAGCTTCATAAAAACAGGTCCTTTTCTGATCCTTTGCCCCTTTAGAACCACTTTTATACCCCTTCATTAAATCTTTTACAAGCTTCTATCTTTATATATTTGTGTAGCTACTTTTTTTTTAAGTAAATAACTTATTTATTTTGCTCTCCTTCCCCACCTACATCCAAAAAAAAAAAAAAAAATTATAAAATATACAGGTTGTTGTGAGCCCATTTTTAGTGACTTTTCACTTGGATTTTGTTTTGTTTTGTTTTTCCAATGCTGGGGCTGGAACGCAGGGCCTCAATGCTACATGACTGTACAGCTACTTCTATGCAAGACTGCCTCATGCTAATCCAACCTCATAAGAGGACTTATTGCTTGTAGAACATAAGAATCCAAAAGTCTGTGGATAGATTGCATGAATTAATTTTTAAAAAATGAAACATGATTATTTCAATGATAATAAAAAGATCACAATTCATAAATTAACCAAGTAACACTATGTTACATATGATTAACACTATGTCACATACATTAGAAAACAAGAGTCTGGATCCAGCCCTGTCTGAGAAACCAACAAGACAACCTCCAGAGAATCAAATATTTCTGTTTTTCATTTACCTAAAAGTGATAATTAGAATACATATAAAGTTTATACAGACTGATTATTTCTATAATAACAAAATTCTACAACCATTACCTCTGTGAAAAAATACACCTTTTGAGATATTAAAACTCAGTATATTGAGTCTAGTTAGAAATAAGTGGGACTTAAATTATGGTGTTGGAATCTGTATACCATAGAAATTGCCTTAAGATGTAAAAGTTTCAAAAAGAGATCTTGCCTATATTCTGTGATATTCTCATGAGACAGATCTCATATGAGTACAGAATTAACATCTACCAATAAAAATTATGTATTTATACTAATATCTTCTTTGAGGGGAAAAAATCTTTCTCTTTTAATTATAAGCATTCCCTACATAACTGAACCCTTTTGACTCCCATGTTGCAAGTTTTTACCCAAAATAAAAGGTTCAATAATTTTGTGCAGAATTCTACTCTAAGAATAAAGAATATATCAAACTTTTTGTTGTGAAGTGATGCTTTTGCTTTTAAAACATACAATTCCACATTCTAAGTAGTATTCTTTTCCAAATCATGTCCTAAAAGGTTGAATAGTATAATTTTTAGGAGAAAACAATTATTTTGAAATTTAAAAGTGTCTAAAGAGAAAGTGACCTGCATGTTTTCACCTTCTTTTACAGACAAATAATAAAAAAAGTCTTCATTTCAGTACGTGAACTATAGCAAAATGAAGGAATAAAATTTAGCTCTTCTTATTGATTAAAACCTCCATTATCCCTTTCTAATTGTATAAGAATTAGATGACCTTCAGATAGATCTAGATGGAAATTACTATACTGCATGAGAAAAACACCATCAAAAAACTCTCACAGACAGGAAAGAAACCCACTACTAAAAGGGTTGCAAGATTGTTATAGAGAAACAGCTTTGGGCAGCAGGGATCAGAAAAAGATGCTCCTGGTTCTACCAGCCATGGAACATCAGTTCAATCAGACCCTCTGGCATCAACATCTATTATTTAGTGCCTCATGTGTTCTGGACTTGTATTTGCACCCCGAGAGCAGGATCAAGAAATATAAGAAACAAGTCTTGCTCTTGAGTGATTGGCCAGTAAGATTAGCATATATGTATCTGCACAGAAAAGGTGTGAGAAAGCCTCCGAGTCCTAGAATGTCGATGCAGAACAATCAGTCACAGAAGGCTGTTAGCACATACAGCTCCAATTTGGTACAGCCTGAGCTAAATGAATAAGGACTAAGCATCTTCTTGCCATTTATGACATTAAATGACACATCCAAAGCCTTTTGAAGAGCCCCATATCCTGTACTTGTTGCACAGCATTTAATTTTACTTACTTATTTATCCATCCAACAAATAATTAATGAACACCCACTACATTGTTCAAGGAATTTGAGAACCATTAGTAAAAAGAAATCCCTGTACTTGCAAAACTTATATTCTAGTAGAGGGAGACAGATAATAGTAAACAAGTTATATAGGATATTAGAAGACAACATGGAAAAACAAAACAGAGTAGGGTTAGGGTGTATAGAAGCAGAGGGCAAATTACAATTTTAAATGGGGGGTCAGGGCAGGCTTCACTGACAATGTAACATTTGAACACTTGATTAAGTTAGAGGAGCAAGCCAAGTAAATGCCTGGGGAAATAAACATTTTGGGAAGAGGTAAGTACCTGTACAAAGGCTTGAAAACAGAATGCCTACTTAGCAGATTTAAGGTAAAGAGAATACTAGTAGCTGGAGTGAAGTAAAAGAGGTGGAGGACAGAAGGACAAGAGGCAGGATAAGATATGATCTGGGTAAGGGCCCAGATCATACAGAGCATCCAATTCCATTATAAAGGAATTGAAGAGCAAGCCCGTAAGGTCAAGCACAGGAGTGACCCAATCTGGTAAAATCTGATGCATGTTTTAAAGAAATCGTTAGCTGCTGTATGAAGGAATAAGAATTGAACAGGGAATCCAGTTAGAAGCCAGGCATGAGATGTTCCTGGCTTGGACCATCAGGGTGTCTTTTAAATATCATATTCATTTTGGTCAATACCTATTGGGGTTTGAGGTTCAGGAGGCTAAGAACTGAACTTTATTCAGCTTTGTATCCCAGATGCCACGAAGTATGAATTCAATCAAAACCACTGGTGTCAAAAGTTATTGAGCACTGTCTAAAAGTCATTAGAATTTTACATTGTTGAGCAAAGAAAAGGGGGGAAAAGGAGAAAAATGTGTTAAGAGAGAAAATAGTTATTAAACTGACAAAAAAGAAACTGTAGAAATCTCAGAGGTCTCTGACATGGTCTGCAGAAGTACAGCCTTATAAAACTGCAAACTCATTTGCCAAAGATAAGGGCCATCTGAATGAACACTTGTCCTGATTCCAAGAGAACTGTGTTTTATATGACACGCCACCCACAGTTGACACTACCCACAGTTTGACAACAAAGACAAAGCAGGAGGATTTTTCTTCTCTTACTTGCAGAAGTTTGTCGTAATGCTCAGCAGACATCAGGAAGCGTCCATCTTCAAGCTGCATCTCCCTGTTTTCCAGTAAGTTGTTCAATACAGGCAGAACATTCCTCTCAGCCTTTTCCAAGCCTTCCAAAATGAGAATTCTACCTTCTGTGGCAGCACGAACTGCACACTATTTCCAAAACACATAAGAGCAAAATGAGAATATTAAAGATAGCAGAAGGCCTTGACCTAATTTTACATGTACTGAAAACTATACTTGCATTTCTTGTTATAGGGTCTGGGAATCAGGAATGCTAAATTCCAATCTTAGTTTTTTCTGCCCATGCCATCTTAGACAAGCGATTTTACCTATTTGTGCCTGTTTATTCACTTGTAAAAAAAAGACATTGAAAGAGATGTCCTCTAGGGTTCCTTTTGGCATTAACATCTTAGATTATGAACCCAAAGGAATAGAAACTAAGTGCTACCTAAGAACTGGTAAGATAATTAAACAAGGGAGCAGATTCCTTAAATTAGAAGAGGCAAATAAAGAAAGTAATCTGCCCTAAATGTTCTGCAAGCTTCTTGTGAAGATCAAATAAACTAGGTGAGAAGGCTTGAAGACCATAATGTTTATAAATGAGTCATCCTCAAAAGAATTCAGGTCGAACCTGAAGGTGGATGGAGGTTTTACAGTAGCCTACAACATACTGACTTAGCCAGTACTGTAAGTATTCTAATAAATTTAAGAAAATTAGTAGTAGAGAAAAGTGAGAAATAAAAGACTCCCAAATGGTGAGAGACAGGAAAACTATAATACCAATAAATTACTGAAGATATTGTATATATCTTCAGTAATTTATTGGTATTATAGTTATACACACACACACACACACACACACACACACATATTAAAATTCTCCTTTAACTTGCAGGTCCTGAACAATGTAGAATAAAAACAAAATATGAATTAAAACTTCTTCATAAAAAATCCTTGGAAATCAGCTTTAAAAAGGAAACCTTCAATCATGTTTCTTTTGCACACTGAACAACAGACAAGATTAATGGTGCTAAATTTATATGACCACTCCTTCCTTAAAAGGCTTTTTCTTTGGTCTCATGACATTGCATGCTCTTAGAAAAAGTCTCTCTTTTTCTGTCTGTCCATTAAATGAAGGTGATGTTCAGAATTATATCTTTAACCCACAGCACTTCTTACTCTACAAGATACTTCCTCATTAATCTGAATCACACAGTTCCAAACATCACTTCTATGCTAACGATTTCCCAATCTCCAGAACCCAAACTGCAGACCATATGGTTCTATCACATGATGGCTCCATTCAGACCCTACAAGCTCTTCAGCTCAACACTGAGCACATCTTTCCCCCTCCTTGCAAATCTGCTTCTCTTCTATTTAAGATGGGAAAACCATTCACCCATGATAGGACCCTTGATTCCTATCTTACCTCTTACATTCATCTACATGTTCTGACGATTTAACCTCCTTAATATCTCTTGAACTCATCCCTTGAGTTCAATACATTGAACTCAACTATACCCCAAGCTCAGGTCCTTCTTAAATCTCACATCTCCTCCATAGTAGTCCAAGCTCCTTAATTGGTCAGATAAGCCTATCATACTACAGGATCTCCAGTGTCACTTCCTGACATTAGTTGCTTCACATGTGGTACTTTTGTGACAATGAACTGCATGTGATTTCTCCCATCAATGTACATATCATATTGCTTTACTAGAAAAATCTGTGTTTAATTAAAGTGACCTCTTTACTCAAAATTTAATTTCCCTTTAGTAATTATAATCAGCCCATAAAAGGAGCTAAACTTGTGAAAGGGGGAAAACATCTCCCTACTTCCTTCTCCTTCTCCTTCTCCTTCTCCTTCTCCATATCCATAGCCAAGGAAATTTCTGGACCAATAAAGTATTGATTTTTCAAGAATAGAGGAGCAAATAAGCACTGTTTAATCAAGCTTGCAGGCTGCTTCCTTTTAATAAACCACTGGATTTTACACAGTATAATAGGGCTTAGTTTATTTCAGGTGTCTGTGATATTATGAAATAATCAGATTTTAATAAATCATATTAGTCTAAAATCATCCCATTTTAAGAATAAAAACAATTCATGGAATATTTCAAATCTACCATTACTTTATATATTTTAATTCTCTTCTGTAGCTTTATTAATTTTTAAATGCATGGATAGAGATGACTTAGAAGTTCCTAAGGAACAAACAAACAAAACCAAGAATCTCATTTTGCTAGCTATATAAAAGACAAAGCTTCTGGGATATTAAAAAAAAACAAATACAAATTACTTTTTTATAAAAATTCATGTTTCAGGTAAGGTCTCAATTAAGCTTTCTTTCACAAAAATTTATTTACTCCAAGAAAGCATAGCTCAGAGTTTAAAAAAAAAGAAACTAATTAGGTTATCATAACCTGGGCAATATTATTTCTTAAAAACCTGAAGGGGTTTTTTTTAATCAATCTTTGTATACAATAGACTAAATACTGTATTGGACTTTTTAAAACTTCATAAGTTTGAAAACTCATGTTCACTGAGGTAAAATTAGAACCACCAATCAAAATTCAGTGGTTAGCCAACTATGGGGCCTGAGAAAACAAAGGCTGGACAACACAGAACAACAACAAACACTGCAGCTCTGCTTTTATGCACCTCAGGTAGACTCTGGTCTACTACTTACTGAATATTTTCAGGATAAGCCTTGTAGAGGGATCAGAAACAGGAGCCAAATATACAAAGGCATTCTTTCGTCTACTCTAATGGAGGTATTGTGACCACAAAGTTGAGAAAAGATAATACCATGTAATGTCCTCTTGAAAACCTGATCCATATTGCTTGCACCTCTTCTCTAGAGTAAAATGCATACAAGTACATTTACACAGTAGAGGTCACATACTAGACTTCTAATATGATGCCCTGAAATAAACCTATCACTTCTATAGTAGTCGTACTAAAACTGCATAATTATAAATCATGAGGAAATATCAAGACCCAAACTGAGCAACATTCCAAAGATAATTCCCCATGAAGAAGAAAAGGAAGAAGCTTACTGCAAAAGCAGAGTTAGGAACAATGTGAGTGGTAGAGGCCAGTGTTTGAATGATTCAAAGATATGGATATGATCAAATGATGTTGAGTAGGAGGGGGAGATAGCACAGGGGCACAGAAAGAGAATGCATAAGATTGAAATAAAACTAAGAAAGTTGTTACTTGATGTTGGACCAAACCATCTATAAGGTATTTTTTAGCAATAAGATCCATGAGTATAGGACTTGCCTCATCTTTACTAAGAATGTCTTTAAAGTTAAAACAATAAATTTTCCCAAACTTTCTTTCTTATTAACACAACATAAATTATTTCTTAAATTTACACACAATTTTCATCACAATGAGAATGGATGTTTTATAGTCCAACTGGATCCAAAGATGAAAATATAAAGAGAGAATTACAAATCCATAGAATGGTAAAGTTTTAGGAGGGAAAAAGAAGGAAAAATGATAAGCAAAGTATCACCAAAGAATTTTAACTTTCTTCCCTATTTGCCCTTTGGTTGCATGGTTGGAGACCAGAACATGTGAAAATTAAAATTTTTAAATGTAGGCAGAAATACTGGCCAAAAAGAGAAAACCTTAAGTAGATGATCTTTGGTAACAAAGTTTGAAACACTCAAATTTATAGAACTAATAGCATCTATTTACTACTTTAGTATCAATTTGCTTTCTAATTCTTCCTTAAAATAGTCTATAAAATAAGCTAAATACTTTAAAGTACTGCCAAACTTCACTACTGTAATAAAGTTTGCATTTGTAGAGAAGAAAATAAAATTTATAAATAAGTAACTGACTAAAGCAAATACAAAGTACATTATGTATTCTATCAAAATTATTATGTTACACATAAATCTCAACTTAATTGGAGAGAAAAAAAAAATTGTTATTCCTGATAGAGGCCTAAGCTTCTTACCCTCCCTGCACTAATGCCCCACCCCCTTCACTCTCTGTTTGTTCAGCATTTAAGACTGGAGGATCAACAGGAAACTTGCACTGTTCTCTCACATCTTAGTAGGATTCAGAAGTCTTCAAAGGATGAGAACCCCATGTTTTAAGCATACCAGTATAAAACTAGCTCACAGCAGGCTATTAACATTTATGGAATAAAAATGCAGCCACTCAGTTAAAAGATGTTGTTATGTAAGTTTAGAAAGAATTTTTATATGAAGGATGACAGTTATCTATGCCTACACTTGTTATGAGAACAGAATAGAATAAGCTCAAGCATGAGAGACTTCGTTTAGATATTTTGAAATTTTTCTACATAGATTGCTCAGTAATTGTAGTAAAAGATTTCTGAAATTGTAAAAGAAAACAAAGGAGCAATGCACATACATTTTTAAGAGGAATGACTAGTTATGATCGTTCCTTAAAATAGAAATTAGGCCAATTTTAAGGATACTTTTTGTCCTTCAAGCCACAAAACTTCCAGAGACCTAATTTTTTCAAATGTAAATTGCAACAAGATTCTTTTAGCCTAGCCATCTCATATCACAGCTTTAACAACTCAACACATGGACATGAACAGTTTCAAAACAAAAGTAAGTACATGACCTAAAGTCAAAAACTATCCAAGCCCCTACTCTAGATTTGCTTCTGGTTTGATATAAGACCTTAGGCAAACAATTAATCTGGACGTCTGTGTCCTCATTTTTACTAAATGAAAATATCCTCAAGAGGTATTGTGCAACTTCTGAATCAAAGTAGTACTAGAAAAATTTAAAGCTGCTGAATCTGTTAAAATGTAAGTTATTGTTAATGTAACTATTATTTCACAAAAATTATCCCAAACAAATTCATACTTCCTCAAAAAGACTACAATGTAAAAGTACTGAGGAAGAAAAAGTTTAAAAAATACATTTTAAGTTTTTTATTTTAAAATATCATAATAGATTTAGATAGAGTAATAATTTGAATATGTTCCCCAAAGTTCATGTGTTGGAAACTTAATCCCTACCATAACAGTATTAAGAGGTAGACCTTAAGAGGTAATTAGGGCATGAAGTTCTGCCCTCATGAATAGATTTATGTCATTACTTGGCAGAAGTTTACTTATTTTGAGAGTAAACTGATAAATGGATGAGTTTGGCCTG